GCCTTGTATTTTCCAGTGTGCCTGTTTTGCGCACTGGAGTGTTTTTACGCATTACTGCGTAACTCTGTGGTTCAGAATAAATCCTGTTATTCTGTGATTTACCCTCCTGCACCTGACTCCGTCAAAATCACCTCATCTTGGACTCTGTGAAGCATTTATTTGGGCTGCAATTTCTGAGGCTGGTTACTCTAATGAACTTATCCTCTGCAGCAGAGGTAACTCTGGGTCTTCCATTCCTGTAGCGGTCCTCATGAGAGCCAGTTTCATCATAGCGATTGATGGTTTTTGCGACTGCACTTGAAGAAACTTTCAAAGTTCTTGAAATGTTCTGTATTTAAATAATGATGGATTGTCGTTTCACTTTGCTTATTTGAGCTGTTCTTGCCATAATATGGACTTGGTCTTTAACCAAATAGGGCTATCTTCTGTATACCCCCCATACCTTGTCACAACACAACTGATTGGCTCAAACGCATTAAGAAGGAAAGATATTCCACAAATTAACTTTTAAGAAGGCACACCTGTTAATTGAAATGCATTCCAGGTGACTACCTCATGAAGCTGGTTGAGAAAATGCCAAGAGTGTGCAAAGCTGTCATCAAGGCAAAGGGTAGCTATTTGAAGAATCTCAAATTTAACATATATTTTGATTTGTTTAACACTTTTTGGTTACTACATCATTCCATATGTGTTTTTTCATAGTTTTGATGTCTTCATTATTATTCTACAATGTAGAAAATAGTAAAAATAAAGAAAAAACCTTGAATGAGTAGGTAGTGTACATCACATCAATGGAGTTGAGCGGAGATGACTGTGGGCGGAGTGTTTTCCTCCAACTACATCGAGTCTCTGTCAATCGATACTTGTAAAAATGTACATTCTTAAACCCTTACCGTGTTTGTCCTCTGTAGCTACGTGCCTTTCTTTGTTTGCTGGAATCCAATACTTTTTGATAAAAAGTTAATCAAATACAACCACTGACTGTTCCCTCGACTGAGTTGAGAAACCCAGCTAGGAAATGACATGACCTTGTTAGCTCCTACAATGTTCATTTGAAGCTGTGGCTACGTAAACAAACCCAAGTCTTGCTCACTGACTTTCAGAGTCCATATTAGAATCCATAGAAAAGTTGATTTAACCATCAACAACAAACAAGGGAACTAACCAACAAATGAATTGGTTCAAAGATGAGTAGGCTATGGGTTTCTTCTTACTTTTTGATCTGATCTTAATTAGATTTGAATATTGACTGAGGAAAAGACAGCAACACAAATCAAACATTTGTGATTCACACCATTTTCTCTCCGCCACACAAAACTGATAGGTTGATCCTACGGTTGTAGCTCCTTAACAGTATCCACACATGTTCTCTCCCTCTCCCAACCCATTTTCACCAACCTCTCTCTCCTAAGTAACCAGTCTTTTCACTTGCTGTTTCCGGCTGCACATGCACATCCTTGTTCCATCCAGCCATCCCATCCATCTAGGAAACACACTCAAAAGAACGACACTCTCGTTTGTGTCCAGAAACAAGAGGCAGACTGAGGCATTGCCTATTCAGCACATGTCATTTGCATGGAGCTCCACTTCCCCAGTGACACTGGACGCCAATGTTGCCAACACAGAGAGTATGGAGAGGGTTCAGAGAGTTAAGATAATCACTGTACTAGTACTCTATCAACATATAAAGGCGTTCGTAACACTTGAGAGATAACTTATTGACGTCAATAATAGTATCTTATATCAAATGGTGATATATTGACATACGGTCAGGAACCTGGGCAATGAATGGTGACTGAGTTAGACCAATTAATCAGATGATAGAGTGAGAAGGTTTATCTTCACAGGCAGCTCTGACAATCCAAGCCAGACAACTCCAATTACCCAACATAAGAACTCCCAATGAAGCTTCACAAAACCCCAATACCACAGGTGGCTGGTGGAAGCTTAATTGAGGAGGACGGGCTCATTGCAATGGCTGCTATCAAAAAAATATACCATTCCATTCACATTCCAGACATTATTATTATTATTGCTATCCTCCCCTCACCAGCCTCCTGTGCCCAAGACTCTCTCTCTCCCACTCGCTGCCTGCATGTGACTGACTGACTCAGAGATGGGCTTCGAGAAATAATTAACTTTTGTTCCGTGCGTGCCACAATCAAGACAAACGAAGCACAGATTACTATGAATGTGCTGTGTACAAAATAATGTATTTATGATATTTAATGATTTACACTTCCTTTGCAACCCCAATAGCCATATTAAGGGTGGTTGGATGTTCTGAATAAGGGATATTTTATATATAAACGTTGGCAGCTCAAAACCTCTACATACAATGGCCAGACATATAAAGAATGTGTTCCATTACAGGGAGTCAGAGCCCAAATAAGGGCTTTGGGTATTTGATGGAACAGTTGACATCGGCAACTGAGATGAGCACCGACATACAACATTATGTGAATCAACATGCACTGGGCCCAAACAATATCTGGTCTTCTGCCAAACAGGTTTGAAAAGAACAACTGATTCAGGATGAGTTTTTCAGATTGTTTGTTTTGGTGTCGCTAAATGTGTATTAGTAGATATTATGAGAAACTATCTGAGAGATCATTTGGATCATTTTCACACTTTTATCCACTTGTTGCTGAGTTTATACTGTATCTAGAAATAGCAACAGGCTGCGGTGATTTTAATTAAAATAAGAACGCATATTCATTTGATACACCTGCACCCTAATAGCTGAGGAACGCTCAACTCCGTTCTCTTATATCAAGACGGATATAAGCGGATAAGAGAACGGAGTTGAGCGTTCCTCAGCTCCAGCTCTAGATTACGTTAAATAGTTAGCTTTAGTCAGCAGACTATCCAGTTAATTACACTAGTATTGCATTGGAGTAGCACTTACATTGATAGCATGATTAAAAACGATTAAAGGACTAGATTTACATCATTACCACAATAAAACAGCACCTTCACCTAAATTGAGTGGTTATTATTCAATGTGCACAGATCTGTCTATCTTATGAAAACCAAGAAAATGAGCCAAGAAAGAAACTGGCCTATCTGATAGGTAAACCTTGGGTCATCATAATCTCAAATCAGCAGAAAGCAAATCTTCTCTTATCAACATTTGAAGCTTAAAGCTAGAATCCACTGTTGAAACTATACCAAAGCGGTCACCCGCCTCTGTTTTGGGAAAAAGTTGAGGGATGGGGCTGGATAAATGTAACCACTCTCAAATGCATAGACAGAGCTATGGATGCAATGCCTGACCATCCACGATACCAACATGATAGTTTCAACCATGTTTTAAGGCTATACAGTGTTTGTTTACGTTGTTTACAAACATTGGAGTAAAACAGGCTTGTATTTGGGGTTCTGATGGGATACGACAGTTGAACTAAGCTCATGAGGCATTTATAAGTTATATTCTTCAAGAATCAATGGGTATATATCATTAATTTATAAGTCCAAAAATGGATGTTGCAACTAAGTATTCTAGCTTTAAGCATGACGAAAAGATGCTGAAAATAATGACTGATTATGATCAGCCATTAGTGTGCCAAATGATGTATAGTGATGCTTTACGTCACTGAAGCTCTACATAGCCTGACACTTGGTATAGTATAACCACAACCAATGAATACAGATGAGAATGCGAACACAGCTTTGGATGCAGTGAATTAATGAAGCTGTTGGCTAAAACCTAACATTTCCTCTCGATACCAGCAGACTTCACTCACTAATTCTTAGTCTTGTTTGTCTTTGCAATACATTTCAAAAAGCAGTCAAATGGGAGATTATTTCATTTTAATTTGAGTCGTTTCTGAATAGAAAATAATATCAGTGCACCACTCTACAATGCATCCAGCAATATCATGTTTAAATAATTGAGGAAGGATCTTTGCGTTAAGAAATGAGTTATCTTGCTACTGTCTATGCTTAATAACCCAGACAGGACGTAGGCCTAACGTCTGCTGCATAAATGACTGCAAACAAAAGCTATGCTACAGCAACATAGAACCAATGTGATTGATTGTGATGTGAAATACCCTGTATTGTTGATTTTTTTTGTAGTCAACACACCAGTAGCAATGAAACCATTTTAGAAAAAGGGGGATTGATAGTGGGATGGGGGCCATTTTCTAAAAGACATGCATTATCTAAAAAGTATTTTTTACACTTAGTACAAAAAAAAGACATTTCTACCCGTTAGTGCTTTGTTTTAAGATACTATAACATAAATAAACAATTTATTTTCAGTGTTCAAACAGACAGTTCCAGTGTGACTGGAAAACTAACATACTCCACCGTATTCCAGTTGGCAGCAGAGGGCTTACTATAGAGACTTCTCCACTCAGCTTTCCGGTCGCCCCTAGGCACCACACTTACACAGCGTTCTTCATGTCTACACAGCTCCAAAAAGAAAACACCTCCAGTTTGGGGGCTCAAATATTCACCTCTGCTCTCTCCCTCTGTAGAAAAAGAAAAGAAAACTAAAAAGTTCTCACTAGGACTTTTAGAGTCTCATGCCAGTCTCATCCCTCAACAGTTACTGTCATTTTCTACCACATCTCCAGAGTCTGTCTTTCTGTTCCATGTAGAAGCCATTCCGTGAAAAAAAGAACTACAAATCCCAGAGTGCAATGCACAGTTCCCATCCAGGCACCATTTGTTTCCTGTAGTCCTAACCTTTACATCAGTACATGATCACACATTATTCTGTCTCAGTCAGTCAAAGATTTTAGTATTATTACCTATTGATATTTAGCCTTTACTTTCTTAAAAAGCTCATATAGATTCTGCTGTGCAAAACGATGCCATGAAGAGCTGATATTGAAAATTCCATTCCTTTTTATTTTAAAATCTCTCACTATTCCTGTTCCAAGACATGTCCTTTTATCTTTCCTCTGGGGGTCTTCCTTGTCATCCAGAGAGTCCTGCCACGCCCCTCCCAATCATCGTACAGTACCGTAGGTCCGTTATGCCACGCCCCTTTATTTGCAGGTAAACACCTCCGTCCTCTCGCTGCACGTGTTGCACTTGACGAAGCAGCACCACTGGAACTTACAGTTGCACTGCCACACTTTGGTGTACTGGTGCGTGTTGTAGCCCCGGCCACAGCACATGAGGTCGCAGCCGTCCGTGTGGGGCGAGGTGCGGTTACACAGCCTCCCCTGGGTGCCCACGCTCCCCGTGGCCGCGTCCTCCTCGCAGTAGTTGGGCGACCTCTCGATGTAGACGAGGTCGGTCTCCATGGGCTTGCGGTAGCCCTGGGTCTTCTTCACCTTGAGGAAGGTGGGCTGGCGTAGTCGGCTGGCCCGGACCACCTCCACGTGGACCGCCTGGTTGTACTTGTCCTTCAGGACGTAGCCGATCTCTCGGAACTTGGGCAGGGTCGTCCAGCAGGTTTTGGTGGTGCATGAGCCTGACACGCCATGACACTTACACTCCAACTTCATCCGCTCCTCCAGGACCTGCATGGACACATAGGGATAGAGGAGGTTACATGGCGTTAGATTACATTACTGAACATTACATGACATTACATGGACAAACAGGGAGAGAGAGTCACACATTACATTGTATTACAGGGGCAGGCCCAGCGTTGAAATACAGGGATGACCTGACTTAGGCGGAAAGAGAAACCAAGAGAAACCCTAAGGGTGAAGAGGTTGCTAGCTAGCTCTGCTGCTAAATGAATGATGGAAAAAACAGTCCACAGAAGGTCAGTGAGAAAAGATGGTCCTTGGATAATATGAATTTTTTTTCTGTAATAAAAGAACATTAGACAAGACCAAGCTGTTCTCAAATGTTGGTGAACCACCACACTTTTCTCAAAACTCCCTACGAATTACCTCTTGAGCCAACAACTGTACTTTGAATGGATATTATTTTAGTGCGTTTGGCAATAACTAGTGATCTCCTAAACCAAATGCAAGGTGAAAACGTGACAGGATTCTGTCCAACAATCCTCTATTGGGCTTGGTGACATTAATGATGTTTATTTTTTTTAAGTATGAGAACATTTAATGATACTTATGAATCACACTGCTCTAAAGTCTTCCCTGACATTTTAAGAATGACATACTCAGATAACAATCATGAACCAATTTTTACAAGACAAGTCTGAGAATACTTGAAACGATCCAGTTTAAATGTCTCTAACAGTCTTTTAATATTCTTGAATTAAAAAAGTGTCAGAACATGGAGCTATACCACACTTTTGCATGGACCAAAAGATAACTGTTGTGTGTGATGTATTTGGAGCACTGTTTGCTAATGTCTCAGTACAGTACACACCATGGCACTGTGGCAAATTGACACTATATATATATATACATACACTACCAGTCAAGGTTTGGACAAACCTACTCATTCAAGAGTTTTTCTTTATTTTTACTATTTTTTACATTGTAGAATAATAGTGAAGACATCACAACTATGAAATAACACATATTGAATCATGTAGTGACCAAAAAAGTGTTAAACAAATCAAAATATATTTTATATTTGAGATTCTTCAAATAGCCACCCTTTGCCTTGATGACAGCTTTGCACACTCTTGGCATTCTCTCAACCAGCTTCATGAGGTAGTCACCTGGAATGCATTTCAATTAACAGGTGTGCCTTCTTAAAAGTTAATATGTGGAATTTCTTTCCGTCTTAATGCGTTTGAGCCAATCAGTTGTGTTGTGACAAGGCATGGGGGGTATACAGAAGATAGCCCTATTTGGTTAAAGACCAAGTCCATATTATGGCAAGAACAGCTCAAATAAGCAAAGTGAAATGACAATCCATCATTATTTCAATACGGAACATTTCAAGAACTTTGAAAGTTTCTTCAAGTGCAGTCGCAAAAACCATCAAGTGCTATGATGAAACTGGCTCTCATGAGGACCGCCACAGGAATGGAAGACCCAGAGTTACCTCTGCTGCAGAGCATACAGTGGGGGAAAAAAGTATTTAGTCAGCCACCAATTGTGCAGGTTCTCCCACTTAAAAAGATGAGAGAGGCCTGTAATTTTCATCATAGGTACACGTCAACTATGACAGTCAAAATGAGGAAAAAAATTCCAGAAAATCACATTGTAGGATTTTTTATGAATTTATTTGCAAATTATGGTGGAAAATAAGTATTTGGTCAATAACAAAAGTTTCTCAATATTTTGTTATATACCCTTTGTTGGCAATGACACAGGTCAAACGTTTCTGTAAGTCTTCACAAGGTTTTCACACACTGTTGCTGGTATTTTGGCCCATTCCTCCATGCAGATCTCCTCTAGAGCAGTGATGTTTTGGGGCTGTCGCTGGGCAACACGGACTTTCAACTCCCTCCAAAGATTTTCTATGGGGCTGAGATCTGGAGACTGGCTAGGCCACTCCAGGACCTTGAAATGCTTCTTACGAAGCCACTCCTTCGTTGCCCGGGCAGTGTGCTTGGGATCATTGTCATGATGAAAGACCCAGCCACGTTTCATCTTCAATGCCCTTGCTGATGGAAGGAGGTTTTCACTCAAAATCTCACGATACATGGCCCCATTCATTCTTTCCTTTACACGGATCAGTCGTCCTGGTCCCTTTGCAGAAAAACAGCCCCAAAGCATGATGTTTCCACCCCCATGCTTCACAGTAGGTATGGTGTTCTTTGGATGCAACTCAGCATTATTTGTCCTCCAAACACGTCGAGTTGAGTTTTTACCAAAAAGTTATATTTTGGTTTCATCTGACCATATGACATTCTCCCAATCCTCTTCTGGATCATCCAAATGCACTCTAGCAAACTTCAGACGGGCCTGGACATGTACTGGCTTAAGCAGGGGGACACGTCTGGCACTGCAGGATTTGAGTCCCTGGCGGCGTAGTGTGTTACTGATGGTAGGCTTTGTTACTTTGGTCCCAGCTCTCTGCAGGTCATTCACTAGGTCCCCCCGTGTGGTTCTGGGATTTTAGCTCACCGTTCTTGTGATCATTTTGACCCCACGGGGTGAGATCTTGCGTGGAGCCCCAGATTGAGGGAGATTATCAGTGGTCTTGTATGTCTTCCATTTCCTAATAATTGCTCCCACAGTTGATTTCTTCAAACCAAGCTGCTTACCTATTGCAGATTCAGTCTTCCCAGCCTGGTGCAGGTCTACAATTTTGTTTCTGGTGTCCTTTGACAGCTCTTTGGTCTTGGCCATAGTGGAGTTTGGAGTGTGACTGTTTGAGGTTGTGGACTGGTGTCTTTTATACTGATAACAAGTTCAAACAGGTGCCATTAATACAGGTAACGAGTGGAGGACAGAGGAGCCTCTTAAATAAGAAGTTACAGGTCTGTGAGAGCCAGAAATCTTGCTTGTTTGTAGGTGACCAAATACTTATTTTCCACCATAATTTGCAAATAAATTCATTAAAAATCCTACAATGTGATTTTCTGGATTTCTTTTCTCAATTTGTCTGTCATAGTTGAGGTGTACCTATGATGAAAATAAAAGGCCTCTCTCATCTTTTTAAGTGGGAGAACTTGCACAATTGGTGGCTGACTAAATACTTGTTTTCCCCACTGTAAGTTCATTAGAGTAACCAGCCTCAGGAATTGCAGCTCAGATACAGTGCCTTGCAAAAGTATTCATCCCCCTTGGCGTTTTTCCTATTTTGTTGCATTACAACCTGTAATTTAAATGGATTTTTATTTAGATTTCATGTAATGGACATACACAAAATAGTCCAAATTGGTGAAGTGAAATAAAAAAAATAACTTCTTTCAAAAAATTCTAAAGAATAAATAACGGAAAAGTGCTGTGTGCATATGTATTCACCCCCTTTGCTATGAATCCCCTAAATAAGATCTGGTGCAACCAATTACCTTCAGAAGTCACATAATTAGTTAAATAAAGTTCAACTGTGTGCAATCTAAGTGTCACATGATCTGTCACATGATCTCAGTATATATACACTTGTTCTGAAAGGCCCCAGAGTCTGCAACACCACTAAGCAAGGAGCACCACCAAGCAAGGGGCACCATGAAGACCAAGGAGAAAAAAAAAAAAAGGCATGTGGGAGACTCCCCAAACATATGGAAGAAGGTACTCTGGTCAGATGAGACTAAAATTGAGCTTTTTGGCCATCAAGGAAAATGCTATGTCTGGCACAAACCCAACACCTCTCATCACCCTGAGAACACCATCCCCACTGTGAAGCATGGTGGTGGCAGCATCATGCTGTGGGGATGTTTTTCATCAGCAGGGACTGGGAAACTGGTCAGAATTGAAGGAATGATGGATGGCGCTAAATACAGGGAAATTCTTGAGGGAAACCTGTTTCAGTCTCCCAGAGATTTGAGACTGGGACAGAGGTTCACCTTCCAGCAGGACAATTTTACATTTTAGTAGACACTCTTATCCAGAGGGACTTACAGTTAGTGAGTGCATCCTGTTTTCATACTGGCCCCCCATGGGAATTGAACCCACAACCCTGGCATTGCAAGCGCCATGCTCTACCAACTGAGCTACATGACCCTAAGCATACTGCTAAAGCAACACTCAAGTGGTTTAAGGGGAAACATTTAAATGTCTTGGAAGGGCCTAGTCAAAGCCCAGACCTCAATCCAATAAAAAATATGTGGTATGAATTAAAGATTGCTGTACACCAGCAGAACCCATCCAACTTGAAGGAGCTGGAGTAGTGGCTATATGTGCCAAGCTTATAGAGACATACCCCAAGAGACTTGCAGCTGTAATTGCTGCAAAAGGTGGCTCTACAAAGTATTGACTTTGGGGGGGGTGAATAGTTATGTACTCTCAAGTTTTCAGCTTTTTTGTCTTATTTCTTGTTTGTTTCACAACAAAAAATATTTTGCATCTTCAAAGTGGTAGGCATGTTGTGTAAATCAAATGATACAACCCCCCCCCGAAAAATCTATTTTAATTCCAAGTTGTAAGGCAACAAAATAGGAAAAATGCAGAAGGGGGTGAATACTTTCGCAAGCCACTGTAAATGCTTCACAGAGGTCAAGTCACAGACACATCTCAACATCAACTGTTCAGAGGGGACTGTGTGAATCAGGCCTTCATGGTCTAATTGCTGCAAAGAAACCACTACTAAAGGACACCAATAATAAGAAGAGACCTGCTTGGGCAAAGAAACACGAGCAATGGACATTAGACCAGTGGAAATTTGTCCTTCGGTCTGGAGTCCAAATAAGAGATTTTTGGGTCCAACCGTCCTGTCTTTGTGAGACGCGGTATGGGTGAATGGATGATCTCTGCATGTGTAGTTCCCACCGTAAAGCATGGAGGAGGAAGTGTTATGGTGTGGGGATGCTTTGCTGGTGACACTGTCTGTGATTTATTTAGAATTCAAGGCACACTTAACCAGCATGGCTCCCACAGCATTCTGCAGCGATACGCCATCCCATCTGGTTTGGGCTTAGTTGGACTATCATTTGTTTTTTAACAGGACAATGACCCAACACACTTCCAGGCTGTGTAAGGGCTATTTTACCAAGAAGGAGAGTGATGAAGTGCTGCATCAGATGACCTGGCCTCCACAATCCCCCGACCTTAACCCAATTAAGAAGATTTGGGATGAGTTGGACGGCAGAGTGAAGGAAAAGCAGCCAACAAGTGCTCAGCATATTTGGGAACTCCTTCAAGACTGTTGGAAAAGCTTTCCAGGTGAAGCTGGTTGAGAGAATGCCAAGAGTGTGCAAAGCTGTCATCGAGGCAAAGGGTGGCCATTTGAAGAGTCTCAAATATAAAATATATTTTGATTTGTTTAACACTTTTTTGGTTACTACATGTGTGTTATTTCATAGTTTTGATGTCTTCACTATTATCCTAGAATGTAGAAAATAGTAAAAATAAAGAAAAACCCTTGTAGGTGTGTCCAAACTTTTGACTGGTACTGTGTATATATATATATATATATATATATATATATATATATATATATATATATATATATATATATATATATATATATATATATATATATATATCATTTCACTGTTAGTGTACACCTGTTGTTTATGAAACGTGACAAATAAAAACATATATTTTTTGTTGCTGTTGTTGACATTGTTGCTGTTTTCATTGATTGAACAGACGTTTGGATGGCATTGCTTTATGGATGGTATTTCTCTGATATAACGTCAGCTTCACAGTTCACACCAATGCTTTCTTTTTTTTTCTTTTTTTGGGGGGTGGGAATGGATCAGCTTAATATTGCAGATAGATTGTATCTTCTATCAATGTAATTGTCTGCATCACTTCCAATCCCCCATGTTTTTTTAAAATATATATACTCCCCTTTATTACTTTTCA